CATTCCCTCGTCTGTAACGATTTATAATAAACACTGAGTAACTATAAATTACATACATTTTTATTTGTAAATATTATGGTAATATCATACTAGAAGTTTTAAACTCTTCCTATATTATAGTAAATATGTTTTTGTAAATATATAATATTTGTCTAATCAACCTTACCCTGTAAATGATAGATGTATTTCAACCTTCATGGTTGCAAAGTCTAGATTTTTATTAATAAATTCAAAATTCTCCCAAGTGCTTTACCAAATCCATAATTGCCTGTTTTGGCACAACATACTATATATTATATCGCTATATTGTTTGTTTTCATACTTTTTCATACAAGTCATATGTTTACATACCCAACCAGAATTATTGTCTTTTCCACTCCAGAAGATAACATGTTGTTTGACATTTTCAACTGAAGATGTCGTAGTTGCCTAACATTTAGTATTGTTTTCAACAGTGGTGTTTGATTAATTTTTTATTCATGTTATACTAAAACAACTTCAGAAGTAATTGTTTTTGTTTGTGGAAACACCACGTAAATTTATTACTGCAAAGCTTTCGATCCGTAAGCCCGGATCTTCATCAGTGCTAATAACATCTGATTAGCATCTAATTTCATCATTCAAAGAACTTAACTTCAAAAGTGTTGAAGTATATGATATACAACACGATTGCAACAACTGAAATTATGTACATGTAGTAATGGATACCAGCTTTCATGTTAATAACAATTAATGTCTAAGGGCAAAGGAAGAGGTTGTCACAGATATATTACAAGTGGTATTGTTCTATTTTTCGGGCAATTAAATATGTTTAACATTACCAAAGGAATTGAAAAAGCTATTAGACACAACAGTTCTAGTGCAACTGTTTGTTCAACTTTTAGTGCAGTACAACTATTCGTGCCATAAATGTATATAAAGATCCATCCTGTCAAGGATGTTGCACTATCTTTCACATGTAGCATTTTTTTGAACTTATCCAATTCAATTTTTCTGTATTTCTGAGATAAATTCTGTTGTTTCATTCTCATCTCCCTCCACATAATTTTATATACGCCATAAAACATCATAAAATGAAAATTATACATTCCTGACATGGAACACTGGAACTCCCCACTGACTTGTTACAAAATGTCAACAATAGTTCAGTAAATATTCTAAAATCAATGCTCATCAAGTCCTCTAGGAAATTAGGAAAAATAAGGTGACGGTGTTGCCCCCTGTGTTAATTAGTAATATCAGGTTTTAAATAAGTACTTAGAATATAGTAAAAATTGTTGTAATAATTTATTGTTTTAGAGTGTGAAGCTGATCAGTAAGTAGGTTTCACCATTTCTGTATATTCTTACTTTTATTTTATGAAAAACAGCCTATTAAAACCAGCTTTAAATGCTGATTGTTAAATAATTTTATTTAAAGATTTAATCAATTGTTGGCCACAACTAATGAATAAGTTTAATAGACTTTACTGTTTATTCAGTTTTGACCCGATGGCCTCGCAGGTAATATATCCCTAGTTTTCTGCACGAATTTATTTCCTGTTGATCTTAAAAGCCCAATCACAACCAAGGTTACGTTCGTTTCGTATATATTGTGCACAAAACACGAGTATAAATATCACACAAAAAATGAGGCCATTGGGTCAAAACTGAAGTAAGGTCTATTTCTAATACTTCTGTGTCATTTGAAATTTGAATTTGATCATTAATACATCTGTGTCATTTGAAAATTAAATTTCCATAAACCATTGAACAGTGTCCCAAATAGAGTCATTAGCTTGTCGTTTTGGTAGTTGTTCTGTATTAGTTAGATAAGGAAGGTATTCGGATACTTCATACACATTTGTCTGCTTTTTCATCAGCAGTCGGGAAGAGCGAAGAGTGGTCAAACTGTTTATATTGTATCCGTATGTGTATCCAGTCATATTCTGCGTTCCACCACACATTTGCCTTTGCGCAGAAAAATAGGATTCCACATGATCCTGGCTTATCTTCTTCAAGTTAAGGTATAGGTTACTTCCGTACTCCGTAACAAAGCCGTCAGTCTTCATGAATTTAAGCAATTCATTTAGAGCACGGACTGTTACCTTAAAAACAACGTAGTTAAACATTTATTATGTACAGTATATAATTATAAGTAGTATCATAAAATGAGGTGTACTAGCTGTTAAACCACCCGCTGGATGAGGGTCATTTAGTTAAATTCCCTCTGGCCCATGACCCGAGGCCGAATCGAGTGGGCGGCTTAACAGCTAATACACCTCATTTCATGATATTACCTTGTAATATCACGTTTTGCGAGTTTGACGTCAACTGCGGTCGAATCAGTTCTAATACCACCTCGATTGGGGTGTATTATAGTGATTTAATGAACCTCATGTAACAACTCCCAAAGAAAACTCGCAAACGCGATATTAGTTGGCTAACTTCAAAATATTCTCGGTTCATCCATTTACTTTAAGGATCTGTTTATATGATCCCGTCTTGTTGGGACGGGACGTTTCACCGCCGGAAAACTAGTAAAACCTAAAGGTATATTTACCTGGCTGAAACAGAGTGTTATGGGAATATGCAGGAGTATATATTACGAGCGGAATGTCTAGCTGGGATAATATATGTACTGGTTCTAATTTAAGCGTTAAAACTTACCTCCAAATCGAACTTCGTTTGCCAAGAAATAAAGTGTTTTGCTCGGTCCGCATTCTTGCTGTATTGTTGAGATAGCCAAGTTTCCCATTCACGAAAATATTGTATAACGGCGTCCAGCTCTGCCATACGACTATCCGACATATCTGTAATAGGTTTGGGGTTATTAAAGATGTTCCAGAATACTTCAGAAAACCGTAAATATTGTCGTGTCTGTTCGGTTATTTCGTTTTCACATTCTTCCATTTCTTTAACAACTTTAGTTGACAAGGTTTGCACAGCAAGTTTAACTCTCATTTTGGTAACACTGTCAAGACTGACGTGCACTCTCCTGAGATCTGTTACATAGAGGTGTCTTCGACATTCTCTCGTGTACACTGCATACACATGATCCCAAAGAATGTGTTTTCCTTTAAAAAACAAGGTCCGCGTATAGCGTTGGTGGTTTTCCTTATGACCACTGCTGTGAATGTTGTTTCGCAGCTTCTTGACAAGATGTGGGGGGTCAGAGAAGAAAAATAATGGCATTCCAGAAAATCTGTTGTGGCACGAGCTTGTATTTGTATCTCCAGTATTCATCATTATGAATGACCGATTCGATGAGGCACCATCGCAGCACGAGAGTATGACTTCAAATCCGTAGTTGTGTAGCATACTGATGCCAAGCCAGAATAGTCTGTTCAACTGTAAAGATGTTGTAGTTCTAGTTAAGAAAAATGCGCATGGATAATCGAACTTGAAGAAAATACTACGATAAAAGAACTGTAAGATGTGGGTTGCGAGGTTTTGTGGTCCATGGTTCTCTTCCGTTGCATCGTCCTCCATTAAATCCGTGAAGCCAATCAACTCCCAATTCTTGTGGTCGAATACGAGGCCCTCGTTTATCTTGACTTCATCGAAAATTAAGCCACCCAGGCTAGCATGCTTTGGTGGTTTCATTCTGTCGAATTCTTCTCTCATTTTGTGAAGATTCTTTGTTTGCCATCCTGACTCTGGGGAACAAAAATTTTTGTAGTCCGAAAGTGTTCTACCACTTGGCAACTTAAGTCCACCACTATTTCGCAGATCGTCATACAATTTGTGTGACTTGATATAAATTCGAAGGCACCATCTAATGACCAACGGATGCCACCTCATTTGCTTTGCCTCTGTATTTATCGCTGTCGCTTGGTCACGCAAAAGAACTTCAAGAAACGAGTCTTGTAAATTGCCGGTATGTTCCCTGAGATGGTTTTCCAAAAGTTTTAATTTAGAATAACGCTTCGAACAATCCTTCCAGTGACAGCAATATTGCCGGTTAATGGGAGCAATCTCACTGGTGTCTAAGCGTTCTATATGTGTTTTGCAATGTATATATAACTCTTCGACATTTTCGAATGTTGGAGATTCGCAATGTTTCCATTGACACAAAGGGTTCGACATTTTCTCGCGATTCTTCTCCAATCCTGCATGTAAATCCTCGAACATAATTTTCAAATCTTTGTCTGAATTTGGCCCCACTCTTACCAAGTTATTTCTGGATTCTTCTAATCTTTGATTTTTCGTTTTCAGCATCTTTACTGTTTTTGCCGAGTCACGCGCAATTTGTACCAGTTCACTTTTGGTTTTGTAGTCGTACCTGGTCCTTTCTGGCGCTTTCACGTCTGTTTTACTTTCTGCAACAGTTTTTCGACTTCGCAGCGTTCTTAGATAGTGCTTGGCTTTCTGACAAGATTGACACGAAGGTGAAGTGCTGGCAACAAGGATTGCACAATCCGTTGACCGCATGGCTCCGTTTTCTACTGATATACCTTCTTGTCCATTCCTTCTCCGGTAACTTATACCATTTTCGTTATCTACGTTTAACTCCTTACAGGTTTCAGTTGTTCCACAACCGTCGCATAACTTCAAGGTTTTTAAACTGTTGAGCAGATCTACTAGAGATTTCACACTATTGAGAGTCTCGGAAACGTTTTTGAACACATGAATATTACTCTTCTCTCTCTCAACTCCATACGTGTAAAATGTCCATTTAGACGTTTTGGATATTCGAATTTCTTTCTCAGCGTACCCAGGAGATATCGAAAATTGGTACAGATGAATAGAATCAGTTTCGTGATTATACCACGGGGTCCAATTCAATGTAGCAGCTGTGGCCAAAAAGGGTTTAATCTTGGCATTAAATTGATCGATAAAACTGCTGTCGTGAATGAGTGTCGTATCAAGATTTCTGGCTTGTGCCTGTGCGCAAGTGTTTTTAAGACATTCACAGATGAAATAAACTACATTTTCGTGCACACATTCAGGATCGTTTAGGAGTTTTTCTAAATTGCCTTCCGAGATTTGAATAAACTTTTCGATCTCACATCCAAAGTACTTCCAGCGAACGACCCCGTTTTCTTTACCTACATATGATTTTAATTTGTTTCCTGAGATCATGGGAAAATATTGTCGAATAGGTATGGCTCCGAAGCGAATACCACATACTTTGGAAATTGCTAGGGAAATGGGTGTATAACGAGGGATGGAATGGTGTCTGCTAAATGTGCATGTTTTGAATGAAACGGTCATCAAAGCATATAACAGCAGCTCTTCCGGACTAAGAGTTGACCCAGATGTAAAATACCCGTTCAATTGACAATCATTTTCTTCGAGCTCGGGTAAACATTCGTGTTCTCTCTGGCATCCCCCTGTTACATCTTTCTCCGTTTCTCCTAATCTTGACCTTTTAATATGCCGAAAGCTACCACTCTCTTCTGCAATATCTACATATTAATGAATATTCATTAGAGACTGGTAACACACAAACTCGTTCCCAGGGTCTTTCCTCTTGTAGAGAAAAGACCCAGGTAG